ATTTCAAGGCTTTTAAAATTAATAACATGTTTGACAAAAATATGTTGATATTTGTTACTTTTTCTAAAACTCAAATTTAAATAATAAAATGAAAGATAATTATTTTATAAGTAGCTCTTACCTCCTGCAAATAATAATAATAATAATAATTACTTATTTAATTATAAATAAGCTTATAAGTAACTTTTAAGCTTTCTCAAACAAGTTATAAATTTTTTATTACCTTTTATAAGAATTGTAAATCAAAGCATTTTTATGCATCCGTGTTCTTATAGGAATTAGGTGTGCTAAGATAAAGATAGAGCTTCACGAGTTTAGACGTGTCTAGATGAATCTTAGGCAAAAAAAAAAAATTTATCTTATTTTTAATATTTTCTAATAAATTAATGGCCATTAAATAAACAAAATAATGTAAAAAAACAACTAAAATCTTAAATAATGTTATTTTATATGCTCAAACAATTTTCTCTATTTGACTCTTTATTTTATTTATCTCAAGAAATATTTATTAATTTCTTCTCATGTTTTATTTAACATATTCATGTGTATGTCAATAACTCTTGGAACTTATTTTTAAACATTGAGTATATAAATAGAGAACAATTTTGTTTTTCATATATCATATGTCATTCAAATGAGATAATTACACTAATGCCCGTTTCTATTTCCGAACAACATGCTAACACTTTCGATTGTCTACAAAATTTCGAAAATGTAGTCCATTTCAACTTTGACTAAAGATTTTTCCTTTTTTAAAAAATAATTTTCATAAATCAGCGATAGCGATTGAGAAAAAAAAAATTATAGATATTAATAAATTAATTAAACTCTATTTTTATTAATAGATTTTGCATAATTCACAAATTTTACCTATTTTTTAATGAAACATTCTTTGATTATATATATAAAACCAAAGTTGAAATGTGAGTAGCACAAAATTTAAGTTGGGAAAACGAAACGCATGAAAGTTAGATATTGGTTTTGGAAAAAATAAAAAAATAAATAAAAGAGTGAAAAAATGAATGATTAGATAATCGACGGCCTAATCTACGGTTCGTGTCTCGTTGGGAAATCCAATTACTGAAAAAAGCAACGCCCAAATCTTTCAACTGTCCGCCCATACGTAGACACATAGCGGCGCGTGTGCCTCGAGAAACTCACCTTATTATTTATTCCCACTTGCAAATATCTATTTATTAAGTATTCTACCATTTACTCCCTCGTTTTAGCCGTTTCAACCTCTCCACTCATTAATTAATGATTTACTTTCATCTTCTAAAACTCATTTTTAATTACAAATTTTTGAATTCATACATATTTTATAGTTTTTATTAAAATTTATTAAAAATCCAATTTTAGATAAACCAAACAAGTCTAACTATGGAATCACACATGTAGCATATCCATATTGACTACTAGAGATACGAGGGAGTGCCCAATTTGATTTTGATTACATAAACTTGAGTTAGGCAATAGACGACGTTTGATGGCAATTATTTTAAAAATTGAAGTTTTGTGTGTGGTCAAAGTAGGAAAATATGTTGGGTTCATTTGAACAATATTTTATCGTATAAATATGTGGCCAGAAATGAGTATGAGAATAAAAAAAATTTGTTTTAAAGAGAGACAAACATGAATTTAATACATAACTTCCAAGAGCACAAAGCACGTGTATTCTAAGCTAAGTACTTTAATCAGTTTGATGGGTATGCTGAACTAAATGCCTTAAAACTATATAGAATTTTAACTGCACATGGTCGAACTCTTCTCTACAACCTTATGACTATCCTATCTAGATCAACTATTCATATCAAGAAGTGAGGGCTTGATATGATATTTTTAACTATAAAAAGAATGAAATTCTTATTCAACTTATCTCGTTCTTTATCATATAAATTACTTGACCTATTAATTCTTTACTTTTTTTGGGGCGTACTAGAATTCACTTATATTTGATTACATTTATTTTTTATGGAAAATATCAATTTTCCATCCAAATTCCCATTTTGGAGTGTTTGATTGTCATTTTTTTCATTGAAAATATTTTTTAACTTTTGAAAATATGCCTAATTTTCCTTATTTTTAAAGAAAATATTTTCTATGGGGGAGTAGGTTTTTTTCTCAAAACAAGGAAAATATTCTCATTTCTAGTTGATATTTTTCATGCCAATCAAACATATGGTCTCAGACGAATAAGGGGAATCCCCTTTCTAAAGGGCAGTTGGCATGGAAGGAAAGAAGGTTTTTATTTAACCCAAGCACATGGAAAACCTTGGAAAGAAAACCAGAAGGAAGTGAGACTGTTCCTCTTCCTATTCAATGAAGAGTTTCACCGTTAGCAATGGCAATTGAAACATTACTGACATCGTTAGGAAGATAAGAAAAGTCGTCAGCTGACCTGGCCATGTAAGACCCTTTTGGCGGTGGCTTACTTGCATAGTAACCTTTGAAACCTCGACGTGGGCACTGCTAGACGATAGAGATTTCAAATATTTTTGTATAGTTAATTAGTTGTGGCACTTTCTTAGTCGATCTACAGTAAAGAGATCAGTTGGAACCAGTAGACATTGCACGCCTTTGCATTGGATCCTGGGGGTGGGGTTAAGTGTTTGCCTTTTCGCTGTAGGTAGTGTGAGTAGGTTTGGGGGTGAAGAATTTGAGGTCCATTCCACGATCCATCAACTATGTGATGTCATTCCACTATTTTTTATTTTATTTTATTTTTTATCACTGCTCGCCATTACTAAATTCAAAAATGATTGAGTAATCTATTTTGTTTTGTGGGTCCCAATTCTTCTTTTTCTTTTTCTTTGAGCAATTGTCATCTTCGACTTGGATGATTCTAGTTGAGGATATTCACCATTAAATGTTAGACCACATACTTCTTCAACAATGCCAAATTATTCGAAATTTTCCCCCAAAGTCATTCCAATGATATATACATTTAGAGAAGTAATATGCTAAAAGAGGGCTTCTTAAAAGCCTCGTATGGAGAGAGATCAATCTTAAGTACCATTCATCACCACTAGTGTTAAGCATTAATTTAAGTAACAACATATGTTAGTTCAGATAAATGAATTTTATAAGAACACATTTAATTAAACTTATCATTTAATAAAGAATACATATCACATAGGCTGATATTCTAACATTACTGGTATTAAATAACATTATTTTTATTTTATGAAAATTTGTAAGGTTGGATCTTTTTGTCAAAAAAAATTCAATCAATTATGGCAATTTTTTTTTTCATTTTCCCTTTAATTTAAATATTTGTTAGCCTCTTTTGTTAACAAGGACAACCACGTAGACATAAAGGCAAGAACCAAATGTCAATGTGTCAGCATCGTAGAAATCCATCTTGATACGGAAGTTGACCTGACCAAGCTGTCGGGTCAAAAGTTTGAACTAGCAAGTCATTAAGCTCCTCAATTATTTACGTGGTTTTTTAAAAAAAATAAAAAATTTTAAACGTGCCAACAGAAGTTTACCATTTAGCCCATTAATAAGTGGGCTGGGCTAACGTCCATCTGTAGATGGTATAATATGGGCCTCTTTTGGGAACTCTTCCAAGTAATGTTTTGCAAGTCATGAGAAAAGAAAGAAAGAATGAATGGACTGGCGCAATATATTTATGGCACATTTGGTAGAGAGAATCTAGTGTGTGTGTGTATATTGTATAATCACTATTTTTTTTTTATAATTGGAGAACCCACTGTCGCTACCCTTCGAGTGCGCACTGAGTAAAATCTTGAGCTGGCACAATAGCTTGCAAACCACGACAACCAGGTATAACCACCATTTTTTTTTTTGATAACTCAAGTGTCCAAGTTTCGCCTAACTAATATTGAGGAGTGACGACCTTTTCCTTTGGTTTGCCACCCAGGTAAATTCGGATGCAAACACAGCTTATACACACTTGGACTGGACATTCGGGATGTGGTTCTCCTCCCCGTAGACCTCCCTTTACGACGTACGGACGGGACTCCCGGAGGGACGACAAAGCGCACCATAACTTTGTCTCCACGAGACAACTGCCTTCCAACATAAATGTTGTCTTCCAGCTGCCGCAAAAATTCGAACCTTCGATGTTCCGTGTGGAACACTCCTCCTTTACGCCTGCACCATGCCATGGGGGCTAAGCACCATTTCTTTACACTCACATGACATGGTCAGGTGTATTGGTAAATTTGACATGTCAAACAACAATTACATGGAAAATCTTAATCAAATTTCATCAATTTGGGAGACGACATGAGACTGGTGAAATTTGAAACAAAATTTTAGTTCAATGGCTCAATTGGAATTAAATCAAAGTTTTGTGACCCAATTGAGACAACTTAATATTTAGGGACCTAATCCTATGTAAAATCTCGGTAAAGGTTCAGTTAAAACAAATGCAATTTACCTTATTCTAAAGAATACTGTTATTTACAAAAAATAAAAAATAAAAAATAATAATAATAAAGAAAGAAAGTTAAACCATGTTAAAAAATAAAATAAAAATATTAAAGCATGCCATATATTAAAAATGTGCTCGTTAGCATCTTTAATTCATATAAATTGATATCTTCAACTTTTAAGTAAATTAAAATTTTAATTAATTTATGCTTGATTGAAATAATTCATTAGGAAAGTTTAATATGAAATTGTGGTTGCTGCCCTAAACAAATCCTTTGGTAAAACTTTATAGTATTTTTTAGGTTTTTAATCCTATTTCAACTGGTTATTAACACATTAATCAATTAGATGCACGCCAAAGCATTTATTTATGTCAAAAAGGAAAACGAGGGGCCGTGTGATTTTTCTAAAGTTGATATAAGCTGGTGGATCCCATAAAATGAAATGTGTAATTAAAAAATAAATAAAAGTTGTGAGTCCAATTAAACAAAAGCTATGTTGGAGAATTTCTCCAAAATGCAACTCCTTCAGCTACATTGAACTCTAGTTAATCAGTTAGTTGCACATATTCAATTTCAATGAATAGCTAAATAAAGATGTAAAAAAACTTTATTCTCCATTGCCAAATCATATCATGCCACATGAATGTGTTGCAAGATCTGGTATAATGACAATTCTGCTATGACAAATACAGAAGAGGGAGGGAAAGGGAGAATGTCAGAAAAACAATATTGAGTTTCTTGAGAATAAATAAATGAAAGGTAACCTTAAAAGCTTCGAGTTACACTGACAGACTCAGATTCATAGGCTTCTGCCAGCAAAAATTTTCCTTTACCCCTTTTCTTGCCATCAGATTTAGCTTTCTGGGATGAATGTCGAACTCTCTTTTCACGCCTAATCACAGAAGAAAGTTACTCACTAAGAGATCAATCTAGCCACAGAAAAAGATGAAATTTTGTAAAATGGAAGTAATAGAATGATGGTAATCATCACTAATAATATCTTCCTTTTAATAGCATTTTGGATACTTGCATTGGTTAAATAAAATTAGGAACCATACTGCAGAATATCATCTTGATGTAATGTGCATTTCGACCTAACATAAACTAAACCAACAATCAAGATAAGCATGCTTCTATAGATACAGATACATCAGTGAGGGCATACCACCGAGCCTTCTTCTCTTTGGAATATCTCATTATGATATTTTCTTTACCATCCAACTTTGCATTCTCTGGATTAGATGAATTGCCTAAAAGTATCTGTTCATCAACTTCAGGAAAAAGTCCATCATCCTTGTATTCAGAACTAGTGTTTTCAGCAGTGATCCTTGAGACGGAGAATGATGACGTTGAATAAGATGGCTGAATTGGACGAGGATATTCGTTAATTGTTCGGAAGTGAAGAACTTCATCAGAAGAATCAAAAACTTTGTTTGCATCAGCTGACTGCACAATGCACGCAGAGGTAGCTTGTCATATTGAAGCAAAATAGGGGAGGGAAAAAATTGAAACATAAACGTCAATCTCATCAAACAATTCATGACTGATCTGCTACGCCAAAAGACCAAGAACTCCATATATTGAAAATAGAATTCAAGGCCCTTTGTGTCAACCCAATGTTGTAATGGAAGCATAAAATACTATGAGCGTTTAATTTTATCGTATGACATGGGAAACTGGTAAACATATCGAGGATTTTTCTATGATATTGGCTCATGAACCATGTTAAAGCATTCGAATGAGAGATTGGTTTCCAAATTGGATAGTACACCAATGCTTGTTTCTGAAGTACTCTTTAGGATACAATTATTTCTAAAATACACCAACAACAATTAAACTAAACCCAAGGCTGAATGAACAATTCTTGAAAATCCAAATTAGTCAATCCTGAAAACAAATCAAGCCCACAAATGCTAATTGTACACTGCAAAACATTTCAAAACTTCATGACCTTTTTTTGCTCGACTTAAAAATGCTAATGCTAATAAGCTCATCTGATATTGATAAAAAGTTCTTGAAATGTAATATTAGAACAAAACCCCCTAAATTCACTTTTATCTTCTGTTAAAGATAATTATGATAGAAAAATAAGAAAAGAATGCAACATAACTTTACGTCTATAATTGGTTTAGATAATTTTCCACAGATTTTTTTAACATTTTGTTTTTCGTACTTTATCGTTAGTGCCATGCAATCTTGTTCCTTTGTTACAAGTTCTGTGAGTAATACCATTTTTTGTCAAACCATACTGCCTGTTATAGATATCGACACGCTTTTCTGCATTGAAAAGTCCTTGAAACTTCTTGAAATACTTCAACAGTAAACAGCGGGAAAGGGATATATCAAACCTCCATAGTTCTTGCACGGAAACTTTCTGGTTTGCTGAGTGATGAATGTTTCCCTGCAAACGAGCATGACATATTTTCGTCATCGACCAAAACTCTGGTTTGCTCTTGTTCACATCCAAAGAGTTCTTCAAAGTTACGAAATGTCAAATCAACATCGGGTATGTGGAGATCATCAAAACATTGTAGTTCATCACAAACTCCAATGTCTTGCATATTTTGATGCCAAAGCTGCAGAAATCAGGTGATTAAGAGCCAATATTCATACCTTACATACCAAATATCCGCACTAATCATTAATTCATTAGTTGCATTACTACTTAGTATTCGTGCACTGGTAGACGTGTGTGAGTGAATTGGTGTACGTAAT